TAGCTGGGGTCCATTCTGGTCTTCTATTATTATGTCTTTGTATTGAGTTTAATCTATTGGTTTTTCTTGTTCTGGTAGGTATGTTTTCTGAATCGGATCGAGATTCTGTTTCTTCTTCGTGTCGGTGTTTCCGTCTAGGCTTCGTGTTGTATCTGATTACTGATGTTCTTTGTCTATATACTTGACTTGTATCAGATTGTACTGATTCATTATCTGTATCAGTAGTTTCTTTACGATTGGTTATTTCTATAGGATCGGTATATTCTTGTCTGAAGTATTCTCTAGCATTCCATACTAGCCTATGACCATGAATAAAAACATGTCAGTTTAAAGCTTTGTTTAAGTCTTGGACTGATTCAAAGCAAATAATTGCGTATCTCCTTCTTTTAAGTGTATATGGGTTTCTTGGAATGTAACAAGTTTTTGCTTTGATTTGTTTCGTTGCTCTTGCAATCAGGCTTGTTGTTGATAGTATAAGACTTTTGTGAGCTATAATATATATAAATTAGATATATTAATTAAAATATTATATCAAAAACACAAGAAAGAAAGCTATTAATTTATTAATAAATTTTTAAAAAAAATTATGAGAAAAAATTAAAAAATATATAGAATTTTAAATATAAAAGAATTTAAATCTATCTAAAAAAAACAAAAACAAAACAAAAAAAAATTAAAGATAGATAATAAATTTAATAAATTAGTAAAATAAAAAAACATTAAAAATAAAAAATTTAAGAAAATTAAATTATTAAAAAATAAAACATAATTGAATTTTAAATATATTTATTAAAAAAAAAGATTAAATAATAATAAATTACTTAATTTTGATACAGTATATTTAATTATAAGAATATTTATTTTAATTATTAATAAAATAAAAAATAATTTTCAATTTATATTTTAAGTTAGTTATAACAGCAGGTTCAAAAAAAAAATGATTATTGAATTTTTTTTGAACATTACTATATTTTGAAGTTTAGTATGTGATATACTGTAACAATGTATTGCATTTTGCAGAGTATTAATTTGCAACATAATATTTAAATAAGATTATTTTTTGCATGAACTAAATATCAAAAAACATTAATCAAAGTAAATTGCAAGTCTCTTGCTTTATTTGCTCAAATCATAAACAACAATCAATTATCACTTGTCGATCTAAAAAAATATAATAAATAATCCATCTTTTGAGATTACCATATACTATTAACCAAATCGCTATGTCCTTTTAAATGTACAGGAATAATGACTTTGGTCTACGTCTTTTAATCAGTCTTTTTCAACAATGCGTTGAAGATGCTCGTCAATTTCGGAAACGGATAATGTTCGAAATTTTGGGTCATCACGTGTAACAAGACCAACCTCGATTTCAGTCGCTTTAAAGTCAGCCGATAAGACGGATGAAAGTGTATTAATAGCCAACTATTATAATTAAATATTAGTAAAAATATATTCCCAAAATCATGCACATATAATTTAACATTTGATGACATACTTCTATTGTATCTTCGAGACTTAGGGAAGGGTCTTTTTTGAGTTTTTTTTCTAGATGGTTCAAAGACTCCTGCTGCTTAGCACCAGCAGCGGTTGCTTTATATCCAACATAATAACCGGCCGGATCGCATTTAAAAAGTTGTGGTCCTCGTTCGTCATCATATCCAATCAGGATCATTGCTAGAAATGTATAACATCATGTTATAATTTTCTATAGAACCAAATCCAACATTTTAGGTTACTCACAAACACCCAAGGGCCTCATGGCAGCATGTTGCGTGTAAACCTGGTTTATATTTGCCACTCTCTTTGCGAGCATATCTGTAGGGATCTCGTAACCATATTTATAACGAAATTCCGCGGCTTCCTGTCTAGCGCGAGTTACTTGTGCCCTGGCGTCAGCTACAGAGAAGAGAGTCTAAAATAAGTAGAAACGCAAAAAAAAAAAAAAAAAGAAATAACAAGGAGCGAATTATAAAATATCCTACCGACCGATTAAGCCAGTCATAACACAACCGACATATGGTGTCAATTGAAAGACATGAGTAACAGTGGATGGATCTAATAGCTTATCCTACATGGAAAACACAGAATGCTATGTAAGGAAACTTTTTTTTCTAATATAAAAGACGAATCACTAACCGGAATCTTTTTTTGCGTCACGATAACTGCGCTGTCTCGACCACGAACACCCACTGACGTTATCCCAGAATTTGATATAGCCTTGAATGCATATTCTACTCACATATTAGTAATCGAATTGCTCAAAGATATTGAGTGATTTCTACAATATTTTACATACCAACTTGGTAGAGTCGTCCTTCGGGGGAGAAGATAGTAATATGGCGATCGTAACCTGCGCTGGAACCTATACAAAATAAAATATTAAATAATGCGCGATGTTAGAAAATAGATATCGTGAAATTTACCGCGACTACTCATATCGAGAATTCTAACGATTCTCTGCAAATCTGAGATGTATTAATTGCAACCGGTTACGTAACGTAATGTTTGCACGTGACTACGTGTAACTATAGTAAACTTTAAAAAGGCACATTCATTTCTTCTATATCACGATGCTTAACAATGAGATCGAAACGAACGAAACAATATAAGCGTCTTATGACTTTGTATTCTCTATCTTTTGGTTTCAGAGAACCATATCAAATACTAGGTAATACTATCTTTGCATTCGCATTGAAATTCTAAAGTAATTAATTATTTTTGTCGTTATTCCGAAAAAGTGGATGGTGATTTTATGCATACTGCTTTGAAGTTTAAAATGGATATTTGCAAACAGCTATGTATTGTGTTGCTCGGAAATACAAAACAAAGTATGTTTTTCAGTATGTATCTCCCTAAGTTTTATTAGCCTTTGACTTTATCTGCCGCCTCACTTTCAAAGTGTATACCTCGTGCACCTTAACGGAAGTAAGAAAACAAGGTAAAGAGTGGAATCAGACGTTAATGGCATTGGAACAATTTGAACGACGCGGCTGTCCGCATAAAAAAAAACCTGTTTCAAGTGCAGAATGCTTAGCTTCAATTATAGGTTTAACGGATTCTCTCATTTATTGGAGTTTTTGATATTTCTTATGTTCTTGCACACAGACTAAAACGATGTTATATTGGACTCAAAAGCACACGATAATCCCCACAATTATTGTATTGCCACGCAAAATAAATCACTTCGCGAACTATTTAGAACCGTCCCCGGTGTTCCACTATTATATATAAACAGGTCGGTTTTGATAGTTGAGCCGCCGTCAAGAGTTACTCTGGAAAAAGTGAAAAAGGTACTATTTACAGTTTCACATCCCATTATAGCTTACATCTCAATTACTGAGTATGATGTTTAAAGGATGAAATTGAAAAAACTCGGGCACCACGCGACGAAATCAAGTTTTTAAAAAATGCAAATTCCGAAATAAAAAGAACCAACGAAGAAATCGGAAAACGGAAGAGACGTAGAGGACCCAAAGAACCTAATCCTTTAAGTTGCAAGAAAAAGAAATCAAATTCCCTGCCTGATGATAATGAGAAAGGTATAAAAAATAAAAACCCTAGAGAAGATGCAAGGAGAAAGGTATAAACCGTTAACAGATTTAAATTTAAATTTCTTGTTATTTCAATGCATTTATATCTTCGCAGGAGTCAATTAACAACAAAAGGAAACACGAAGAGCTTTCTGATGATGAAGTTGTATCTATCAATTCAACAACTAGTCAAAGTGATGATCACGCTAATATAGAAGATTCAGTAAAAGAAATTGAAAATCATCAAAAAAAGAAAAGAAAAAGAAAAAAAAAATCAAAAAATAATACTAATAAAAGTATAAAACTTGATAATTAATTTACTAATATACAGTTCAATTAAATATTGTATAAACAAAAAATTGGTTTCATTAAATAATTAATATTATACTGTGATATTAATTCAATTATGATTTTATTGAAAATATTTTAATTTGCAATCAAATTATATAACATGTTTATTTTTATTAATTAAAAATTAATATATAGAATATCAAAACTTTTTAAATTATAATTGATTCAATATTGAAATAGTTATAAACTTATCAAAAAATCTAAAAAAATTTTCTAGTTTTAAATTTGATTAAAAAAACAATATTTTATATTTATTTATTTATTTTTTTTTTTTAATAGGAGTTACAAAGGTCCAGTTTTATTGAGGTTGTGGCAGTGAATTGGTGAGATACATTGAAATATTATAGTAAAGGCTATATTACTTAGGAACTATAACTTAACCTTGGTGATGACTAGTTATTACAATAAATTTATTTGGCACAGTTTTTCATATGATCTATATGGTGTGTTGCTGGAAGAAACCCTACTACCCCCTATCTACGTTTAGACTTTTGCCATGTTGACTTGCTTTCTGGCTAGCATAAACCTGAGACCTCTTTTATATCTTATCCCATTAAATACTCTTTTAGACTACCTATTACAATATATCTATGAAATATTTACATAAAATCTCATCCTATTTAAGTATCTTTTTTATATGATCTATTATAGCCTAACTATAGAGTAACAGCATGAAGTCTTGGACAGATTATCAAGTTTGGTAGAGACCCTTTTCTTTTGCTAATATGCCTAGGCACCGTTAATCCCTGAATTTTTATGACAAGCAAATTTTCAGTCTATCTACAAGAGCTTATTGGAAACTATTTTGTGACAAGATGGCTTCAGCACTAAAGGTGGCTAAAGTATCTTATGATTTTTTATTATTCTATGATTAGATGAGATTTTGGCTTTAAGTAGTAATGATTATCATCATGAGATGAATAAGATTTTTTATATCACCTAAGTTTAAGTAGTATTGTCTCGCAATAGTATTGACCTTATAAATAGTACTTGATAACCTGGAAGCATTACTATTGTACTATTGATCCACAGATCTATATTTTATATTTAAATATGTATATAATTTATAAAAAATTATTTTTTTAAAAAAACTTTTTCTATTGATCCTTAAATTTTTAGAAAATTTTCTTTTATAATAATTTTCTAAAAGAAAATTTTCTTACAAAAAACAACTTCAAGAAGAGATAGCAATAACAATAACATTTTTTTATATAATATACAGTTAACTCCTGATAATAACAAAAGAACAATATTGGTTAGCAACAATATTCTTATACTTTTGATTTGCTTTAGAAAAAAGAGAAAACAAAGACAAACTGATTTATAGTAGGTTTCTTGAAACTCAATATCAACTTCACAAAACTCTTAGTCAGATCAATATAAATTAGTACTTTTTTGAGTACTAAGTGAGATTTCAAAAACAATAATTCAAACTAATAAATCAGTTCAAATTCAAGGCTCAAAAAATCTAAAAGGATATTCAGATCTTTTGGGTCAAACAATAAAGATCAATAATAAACAATCACAACAACTGATCTATCTGTTCATATCATGTGAATATAAACATATAAAGGTAAATAGATTCTAGATATGACAAAACAATAACTTACAACATGTCAATATATTATAAAATAGTAATATATGTCAATCCAATCACATTACAAATAGTAAATAAGTAATATACACATAGATAAATAAGATCAGTACATATGATCAAAATACATAAATAAATAATATATTGGTAAAGATTATCTAATTATGTAATCCAAAAAAACTCTTTCTGCTGATCCACTATTTTTCTAAAAATTTTCTTTTTTGGTAATTCTTTAGAGAAAAAGGATAATACAATCCAAGCTCAGCAAATATAGTAAAGAGAAACACATCTACATCACTTTACTTGGAGCAATACATAAAGCTCTATAAACAAGTCGCCAGGAGAGGAGTACATAATAATAATATTAGTACTTTATTCACCAACTTCTGAGAAAAAGGGAAAACAAAAGTAAATCTAAATCACAATAAGGCCAAGGGACCTAACATCAACTCTCCTAGCTTCCAACTAGGCCAGTGCAGATTTACACCTTTCTAGACATTAGAAGGAACTTGATAATATAGTAATCTCAACTGGTAAACCAGTCAAAACTCAAAATTTGCAAAACCCAAGAGGACATCAGGAGCCTAGAGCAACAGCTAGAGATTATCAGTAACAACACATTAGCAATTTATAAACAACTAGTACGTGATAAAAACACAAATACATTCCTTTAGACAATAGAGACATATCAACAGATTACATGACGTGTCTCTAAATAGATAAACAAGCTCAACACGTGTTCTAGCTAATCACAAAACACGTTCCTCATATCCGGTTTACCCCTTAATAGAACCAATACACATGTTACTGAAATCAGCAAATAAACAGATAAACAATCTGCAACTCGTGTTTACCCCACAAGTGATCTACTAGTACAACAGATATATTAGGAAACCTCAGTAATACTATCTGAAAAAGTAAATAAATAAACAGAGTTAATTCGCGAAGCATGACTCATTAAATAATTATGTGACACAGCAAACATGGATAGGGCACAATGCATTCTTCACATAGTAAACAAAAGGGAGGAGGATATCTTGAATA